GTGCTGAGTCACCAGAGCAGCGTTAGTGCTCCTCAGCATTGTTTCTCCAAGTCTTTGGTACCAAACTGGAGATAAAGATATTTATTTTGTACGTAAATGATAGTAATAGAGAACACGTTGGTTCAAAATCCTCACCCCTCTCAAGTGTCTAGAAACGTTCCTATGGACGGACGCTTTGTCTTCCTGAAACACTCAGATCAACATATGCATCCAAGCCAGCAGGCTGTGCGTTTAAGGGTTAATAAAGATGAAAAACTGGGTGAAAAGAGATTGTGAATATCAAACTTTGAGATCCTGACTGAGCCCCGTCCAAATCAAAGCTAACGATTCTGTCAGATGAGAGAGGACGACCGGCTCTGTGCGGCTCTACGCATGTATAAAGTATGACTCAGCAGAAACACAGGCACTTGTTGCTTATTAACTACATGGCGCTGGTTCTAAAGACTTCACAATTGAACTGGAAGCATGTTTTTGGGATTATCTGCTCTGCTAGGCTGTAAAACATGATCAGTGAGGACGTTATTAAGAAATATCTGCCCTCATAACAACACTAACCTGTGTAATGTGCAGTCCAATTGTCTTTCACTCCAGATTTAGTTTTAATGCTGCAGAGCACAGCTGCACCACTGAGAGCTGATTTTATATTCCACTTTTATTAGCATTAGCATTTTTTTGTTTAGTATTCTGAGACTGGAGCCGCTAAAACTGCCGGCTTCAAGATAGAATATGAATAAATAAACTGATGTTAATACTTGAGCTTCTCAGAGATGACGATGAAGCATTTCTTATTCGAGTGTTGGTACCAACGTCATGTTTACTTCCTTATGTTAAGGTTCATCTGAGCCTTTTTTGCAGTTTGTGTCACTTTTATTTCTTATTTTAAAGTTTTCTGTCACTGATTTGAAATATTGGCACCAACACTGCTTGTCAAAATGCAACAAGCTCCTCCAACATTTTCTTTGTTGCCACAGTAATAAATAACATTTATTACATTTTACTCCTCAACAACACCAGCAACACTCATTCCATCTATTTCAGAAGATCAGAGCCTCGTATTAAACATGTTTAAGCCGCGGTGACACCAACAGGTCATGTGATAAGTTGGGAGTGAGGACAGGTTGGATCCACAAAGCATCTCAAGATAGCAACGTTAGAGACTTTCTGCATTATGGAGGAGAATCTCACTGTGACACATTGGTCCGCTCCGCCGGCCGTGGGAAATGTCAGGTCCAGGTAAAGCACCAATCATCAAAGTGAATGTGCACCGTGATCAGTCCCTGTAGACTGCCTGATAAAATCTCTTTACAGCAGAAATAAACATGTTTATGTCTTACTTCGAAAAATGTTCCAACTCTCAGCTGCTTCATTACATCTGTGTATAAAGGGATGGGTACTTTTACACTCCATTTGAGCACTTAAAGCACTTTCTTACGACAAGCCTCCTTCACTTATTCACAGACGATCATACAACCATGTTTTTGCCTAAGTTCACACATTCACACTGCGACATCAGGCTCTGTGGACAACTTTTCAGGATAAACTTCCACGCAGGCTAAAGGCGCCGGGGAACCTTCCAACGCTACCTCCTGAACCTTAGCCTCCTGGTGGGTGAATTCTTTAATAACTCAAATACTTGGATAATGATGAATTTTAAAGTTTGCATTACTAGGGGCGTGGCCTCTTAGACTGATGGATGGATTGCAACACAGACGACTGCAGTTGCTAGCTGTCTACTAATTGGAGTCACTGAATTGGATCTCTGGATCATGTTTGTGTTGTTGATGCCTTTTGCAGTTTTTCTAATGCAGTTATCTGACAAATGGTGGAGCTTTCTGTGCAGCTGGTTGTACTAACTCATCGTTGAAGAAATTGTGGTCGGTAGTCTTTTACCTATTGCTGATTAGCATGTGTAATTTAGCTAATTTAGCAACAACTCAAATTTCAGACATAAAGTCTTGAGGATACTTTTCATGTCTGTGACCCTGCTGAGGTTTGCTGGGGTCTAACTTATACCACCACATGGCGAACAAGGATCCGTGTAGACTGCCTATTTTCTTGACTGCGCAGACTCATCTGCAGATACTTTAATTAGAAAACATCAGCTACAAATAAACCTCAGACAGCGGACTTCAAAGAAGTATAACAAGAATAAGAATTCATCCCTTTGGTCGAGACTGAGGCTTAAAAGTTTGTTTATCCAATTGTAAATTAATCATACTGTTGTCATAAAAACAAGATTTTTAAAATGTTTAAATGACTCCCCAAATATACCTGAGCAACTCATCGGTTTAAAGCATACAATAAATACGTTTATGTCCATGTTAAATAAGAATCATAGCTACTAGTCACATTTTTCTAAATAAATGACCACAAATTGTTGTATTTGTGTTTTTCTATTATTTACTGCGTTGGCCCAAAAACTTACTGGACCAAGTGTTTTGAGTAGCATCACCTTTCTGACGAGTACCAACATTATCACTTTTTTCAGGACAACTAAACTCTGTTTTTAATGCTAAATACTGAAGGATAAAGTGTTGCTAGGTTGATTTCTTAATTTAAAGAGTTGAGTTCCAGAGTGATGTATGTGAAATACTCAGTTTAAATAAGTTGTAATGACCTCTGTTGTCTAATGATGTTAAGTGATGACATGTGCTGTGGTCTGTACTCAGTGTGATTAAGCACTCGTACTGTAGCTCTTTAAACAGCTCATGTCACACATGAAGCCTCGTGTCTGAGGTTGAACTGATTCATTGTAGCAGCAGCTGAACATTCAGGTGGTAAATTCAGTGTTTTGGGGCAGAATGAAACAGGTCAGCACATTATTGTCTAAACCTGCTGCACTGTACAGAACGCTCCCCGGAGCCAGAGTCCATTTAGTGGCAAGCTCCCCATGGTCTGCGTCCATTTACTGCCGCAACGTGCCCTTTTGAAGCCAGGCTCCATGTACTTGTGTTTACCCTGTAAATCCCAGGTCTGCTGAATGAAGTCTGGATGACGGGAGAATGATGCACTGACCCATGACGGTGAGTGCAGCGGACGGCAGGCTAACCCTTCAAAAAACCCAGTCAGACAAGCACCACAGAGAGCCAAATGATACACTAACAATGCACAAAAGCATCCGAGCAAAAGCGCACATTCAGTAGCTACAAAAACCATGTGTTATATCATCAAGACCCAAAAATAACCGGCAGGAAATTTGCTTTGCTGAATTTGACACTGAAGTCTTAAACATGTATTTGCTGCAAAATCCTGTCTTTAAAAATCATTTCAAACCTTCCAAAATAAAAAGTCTGGAAATAGAACTATGGCACAATTTGCTGCCTTGTAACTGCGGTCAAAGCAAAGCAGCGGGGCAGTTAAACTGACCCGAAATCTGTTTTCAGCCCTTAAAATTCAAATTCTATTTGTCCTTTGGTGAAGTTAAGAGGGCAAATCACCAAACACCAAATTTTAACATCGCTAAAATATACAGTGATGATGTAGAAGTCTCAGAAACTCATATAAACTCTTGACTTTAAAGTGTTAAATAGATTTAGCATGTGACCAAAAAAATTTGAACGTGTGGGACTAAAAAAGGTTATTTGATCTTATCTTAAAAATGCTAAAGTTATTGTAAAAACTCTTTTATACTCCTGGACTTTTTCCATTATTTTCTAACTCATCATTGGCTCTCTGATCAAGATCTCCAGTAATGTTCTTCATGTCTTTTTTGACACTTTCTCAGTTCCAGTGAATGAAGCCGGAGCAGCATCAGCTGCAGAGACTGTTTGTTTGGTTCCTGAAAGCGAGCCCTCGAATGCAGCGCACTCCACTGTCACAACAATCGCTCTATTACTTCATACATGTAGAACGTCTCCTGTCAGCCTGCAACTCCACACACCAACATTAAGAAGTGCTGAAACCTCGGAGAAGTTGAGACATTCTTCTCTCCGGATCTAATAATGCCGCAGCAGAAGCATCGGTGCTGCAGGACACCAGCGGCATGTCTGACGTCGTGGGAGGAATGTGATTCAGATGTTTGGAGCACTTTGTGGTAAGAGACCGTGCGGAGTAAGCCGATGATGAAACAGCTGCAGTGTTATTCAAATATGAGCTCTGCCAGTTGTTTGGGCACGTGTAACCTGACAGATAAACTACATTTTTACATCCACATACAGCCGAAAATAAGTACATCAAAGTCAGGGGACTGGAGCACACAGGTCATAAGTTATGAAGGTACATTTTACATTTTCATATAAACAAGCTTTCTGATTGTTGCAAATGTCTCCGAGTTCTGCAGATGGTTCTTATTTTTCTTGTAATTGTTTCCTTGATGAGTTCACGCTGATCACCACAGGCTGAGCTGGATGATGCTTTAATGACGGCTTCACTCATAAATGTTGAGCAAACTCTGAGCGAAGCCACTCCTTTCTGTCTGCTGTTATGAAATAATAAAAGTACTCCACAGTGAGCGCTGATCATTTCATTACAGAGAAAGGAAACATCAGACTGTTTGTAGAGTTAATAAACCGTGTTGTTGCTACATTTCAGCAAAGCAGAGTGACCTCCAAATCCACCGGACCAGTGGCAGCCAGTTCCATCCCAAAACTGTTGAGCAAAACTCAACTTTGATCTGATCCAACTGCACCAGTGTGAGGTAAACATCCTCTATGCCCCGCTGCGTTTTGGAATCTGGGATATGAGTGCACAAAGAAAAGGAAAAAAAAAGCACAGCCGGAGATGCTTTGTTTCAAAGATTTATGCACCAGGTCCTCCTGCTTGCATTCATTCATATCAATTCAGATATCTAAAAGATGAGCATGGCACCTGAACCGCTTTGTAAAATGAAATTAAATCAAGTAGAAACGCTCCATGGAAACTAACTGCTGAAGCACAGGTGCACAAAATGCTGTTTATACCAGAATTAAAAAGCTCAGTTAAAAATGTGGTAAAATACCCCAAACACCAACAAAGAGTCACCCTCTGGCCCACCCCAGAGCGCCATCGGTCTATGAACTTACAGGCGTAGGTCATGGCGAAACTGCTGCTCGTGTCCACCATGTCCACCTGTGGCACCAGCTTGGGGATGTCCTGGTTTTGTGCCAGGGCGAAACGAAACACCTCGTACTCATGGGAGTCACCGGGGAAAAGGCCTCCTGTTGACAAACACACAGAGACACACAGAGGGTGTTCTTCAGTGTCCCAAAGCACAAAGGACAGGAAAGCCCCAGAGAGAGAAACGACCGCTCACCCACAAGCCCAAAAACACCGGTGTGCTTTACAGTAAGAGCTGACGCCGTTTGATTTAACATGAAATCAGATACAAGAGTGAAATCTTTATTGAGCTGTTCATAGTGATTGTGCTTTATAGGACCGCCCTGAAGAGCGCCCCCACTTTATGCTGTTCTTAGAGTATAAATGCAAACAGAGTTTATAAAAGCAGCTCTGTGTCACACTCAGTAAAACTTTAAATTAAACCTCAAAAAGTCAAAAGAAAAGGAAATCAAGGGTCAACGCATCGCCCTGCTTCCCTCTGCAGAAAAGCTAATGGTGTGTTCTGGATTATTGCAGGAAAAACGTCTCTCCGCAAAGCAAAAATTTTATAATAATGTCCATGACGTAACATTGTGCTAATTAGCTCGTGCTAGTTATTCATGTGGAGCTGTTTAGCACAATTAAAGCATGTTAGTCTTTCCCGTAAACGACGTTGATTAGCTGCGTATATACGAATGTGAATCGCATCATTGGGTGGAGCAGCCAGTTTCCGGTCACTTACTAACTTAAACTGCAAAACAGAATTGTTAACGTATTTGTTTTAGTTTCAATTCAGGTTAGATTTTCTGTGCGCAGAGACGTGCCAGCAGAGGGAACATTGCCTGCAAGTCATCTGCACCTTTAGCAGGGAGCTAATGAAGCTCATGAGTCTACTGTTAAGCTAGCTTCTCTTACTCATATAGAAATGCCTTAAAAAAAAAACCCAATTGGAACTAAATGATGTAATTGTGGGGCTTCTCCTGTTTCGCCTTAAAGGACTGTTATTTAAAATATGTCTAACCACTTTTTTTCAGTGTGGAGCTTTAGTTACTCAACCATCTAAAGATTTTGTCTATAAAGTGGTCAATGTGGATGCCACTTCCTGCTGCTGATAGCCAGAAACAGCAGTCAGCAGCCATGCCTCACTCCTGTCTGAACTTGGAACCTTTGTCCTGTTTAAGGCCAAAATTCCTCAGTTCCTATGAAGTGAAACATTTTCACGTGTTCAGCTCATATTAGTCTACTTAAGGCCGCTAATCAGGGTCAGGTTTCATTCTCTGTTGTCTGTAAATGAGGTTAAATGTGGCTCCTTGTCTTCATGCTGGGTGGAAATGAATAAACTCCCAGCTTCTCTCTCCTCCAGCTTGCTGTTCTTAATTTGATGTCCATATAGTCGTGATAGAGCAGCCATGCTAACAATAGCAAAGAAGATTTCTTCCAATTTATTTCGCTTTCATGTCCCCAATAAAAGAAAAGTGGAGCTGAACTGTGTGTTTTCATACTTGCATGTAAGTGTATTCACACTCACTGCTCCTGAGCACCTCAAACTCCAACTTTACCCTAAAATAAGAAATGGGAGTAAAGTTAAGAAACTTTGAGATGCTTGATTGTGCTGCCCGTGAGCTGGCTGCTCACACAGAGTTTACCATTGTCACTAATAATGACGAGTGCCCGCTTTGCTGTAATTGCTGTTAAAAGCCTCTTTTCTCTGCTCTTACTGGAGCCATTTTACAGCACTCATACCCTCTCAGCATAATGGTTTCTAGGGTCACGTGGAAATTATCCAAACACTTAAACTCCGACTGACTGACCCTCTTCTGTTTTCTGTGCTGAAGGAGGAAGAGATGCTTTCATATGACTGCACAGCAGGGCGCTCCAAATTCCTCGATTCAAATGTTAATTTATGTTTTTCTTTCTTTTTGTGGTGAAGCTTTCACGACTCTTCTTCTCAGCAGGAAAGTAAAAATTGCTCTGTCCTCTCTGTCTCCACACAAACAGATCTTTGAATAAAGCAGTTTAATAAAAGGTTTCAGTTTCCAGCTTTTTTCGCAGTTATGGTTGATTTTCTGCTGCTGTTTGGTGACATTTAGGCACAAATTTTCTGCAGTTAAAGAAAAAGGAAGGAAACCATCTTTCTTCTGCATCGAGCTTCTCCTTCATCTTTATTTAGCCAGTCAGTGCAGAAATTAGCATCGCCATGGTTTCCTCAACAGAAACATATTGAGATTTTTACAGAGCTTCTTAGATCATCACATAAAAATAAATGTGGGGAAATAAAAGTTTATGATAAGCACAAATTCAGTTCAGCATCTCCACAATTTGATGCCATTTTTATTATTGAGTAAGTGGGATTTCAGTCACCAGAGGGGGGCGATATGGAGCACAAAAAATTCATACTTTTCACACTCCTACTGTATATTAGTTTTTCCAACAAAGCACGGTGCGGGTCATCACTTTGTATTCACATTTGAAATTGTTGATCAGTTTGTTTCAGCCAAGGCCCCCTAAAATAGACATGAGCACTGATAAGTACTGTCCTGTCCTTGCTGTGAAAATTTACACATTAAGTAGAGACAAGCTTGTCCTGTAGGAATCAAACTTTCCCCATAAAGTGCTGGAGATTATTAAGAGTTGCCTTAAACTTGAGTAGGAAGAAAAGAGATTTTTCTCTCAGTACTTGTGACCTTCAGCAGTGTGGATGTCTGTGGGAAGCTCAGCAGAATGTGGCAGCTGTGTGCTCAAATCTGCAGGCTGATGGACACAAAGATTTCTGTCATTACTATCGATGTAATCATCGAATATGAGCCATGGAGTTTTCCCCTGAGTCTAACTGTGATGGTCCGAATGTGTCGGCCATGACAAATGTAGTCAGAGGTTCAAATTATCAGGGACAGAGTAAGAGAGTGGAATACACTCCTGGATGAAAGTCAGCAGCTTCACTGTGGCCATCATTATGATTTTTATTCCAAACGTCCTGATAACTCACATCTGAGGTTCACACTCAGAGAGAAGGTGTTTTTTTTCCCGATCATTGCAGTATAACACAAAGTCAGCTGAACTTCGCAGATATCAATGTGTCCAGACAGGAAGCACCCATTACACTGCAGAGACACCAACAGGACATTAATCCAGCTGCACGGTGTCTGTCTCACTGCAGGACGCCGGCCCCTTGTGGATTCTGGATCTGACAGTTCGGTCAGAGACGAGCACAGAAGCTCACTTTGTTCTTCCTCACACAGGAGGCCAAGTCCATAACATGCAACTGTTTCAATTAGATTGATTGTCATTTTAACTGACTTTTTATTTTATTTGAATTTTATTGAATTTTATTTTTATTTTATTTGTATTCTTTCACTTATTGTTGCATGTGTGTTGTTGCTGCCTGTGTTTGAGTAATTTCTGTAACTGTGAGACATCTGCTGCTGCCTATCTTGGCCAGGTCTCCCTTGAAAAAGAGGTTTTTAATCTCAATGGGATCTTCCTGGTTAAATAAAGGTTAATAAATAAATAAAAACAGGAGCAAATAAGGCTCCGTCCAGTTCTGTTTTTAATGACCCATCACACTCCTGAGAATGTGCTGGTCGATATGGATGTGCCATCCTGGAGGAGATGAACCCGTGCCTAGATCCAGCCTGAATGAGCTGCAGGTACCGTCTCATTCCACCAGCAGTGACAAAGACATGAACGGAAAGAAGGGGAAAAAAAAAAAAAAAAAAAAAAAAGCAGCCAGGAGGGATGAGCAGAGCGCAGCAGTCTGTGGTCAGCACCTGCAAGACCATTCCCTTTATTTGGGGTTTGTCCAGCGCACCTGCTGCCACTTTCATCTGTAAAGCAGGTGAAACGGATTCACAGTTTATGCTTCCCAACTGGACACACTGTCTCTGAAGTTTGACTGTGTTATTCATTTAACCCAGTCAAGCATTTTGGAGACTTTTTCTTTGTGTCCTACCCAGTTACTGTTTTTTTAAACTGGTAGTTATACAAGTCAGTATTATATTTAGTCATTATTACCTTAGGAGAACACGAAGATATTCAAACTTTACAATAACTTTTTAATACAAGACAGCTGTTATGATTCATCACCTTCCAACCGCCTCCATGTCTGTGTAACCAGGTCATAAATTACATAATGTTATAATTACACAAAATGTGTTCTAGACCCCAAACCCCTCCTATCATACCTGACTTTTAGGACCTTCAAGCCTGTAGTTATGTTCATTATCAGTTAGAGCCCCTTCTCCTTCTTTGGTGCAACCCTATAAATACGGGGTACCCCTTTGGCCCCTCCCCTTTTCCACAGTTCCCCTGTGGGAGAGGTTGGGGTCATTTCTTTCCCAACACTGTACAACACACATAATGTATATTTAGCCACCCTGATGTTTCTGATTGTGTTTTAGTTCAGTTATTGTCATCACTGTGCCCATCTTTGGTAGATACTGTAAATGTGTAGTATGCGTGTGCCACATGTGTTATAGGCACAGTTAATGCTATCATGAATAGATCATTTTTGTTAGCTTGGAAGTTGTGGTGGGTTGAGCTAACCCTCTTCCTTACGGTTTACATTTGGTTGTAGGAGCTGGAGCGGGCAAGTTGGAGGTCTTTCTTTCTTTTACCTTTCAGTGTCAGACAACGCAGGAACACACCAGTTACAGCTGCTTGTCATATATTTTACATGACCTTCAAAAAAGATGGTTTCTCATGTACGCAACAGGAAACATGAGGAGACATTTTCACTTGTATGAATGCTCCAGTGCAGCTAACCCAGCTCAGCCAAAGCAAAGTTTCTGCCCAATGAACACACTGCACATTTAAATGCATAAAAACAGTGAAAAGATAATCATAAATAGGGATAAAAGTAACAATATCACATAACGGGAGTCATGACACCACAGGAAATATTTAAATCCCACATCAAGCACATCAGCCAGGAGGAACGCAAACACAAAATGGGACATTTTTGCTGTTTACAGTTTCAAAATAAAAATCTCAGTACACACACACACACACACACACACACACACACACACACACACACACACACACACACACACAAATATCATTTCTAGCCACACTACTAAGGCATCAGTTAATACACAAACAGTGCTTGAACTCAATGGAAGATTTCGTGAAGGGAAGAAAAGCTGTGAAAGAGTATTTAATAGGTCGCAAGTAAAGAGAGGCTCAGAGAATGTGACGGCACTTACCCCAGGCTCCTCTGTCAGAACTATGATATCCAGATGGACTACAAAATGAGCTCAATGAGTTTTGAGCAGTTTGTTGCAAAATTTTACTTCATTGTGAAGGTTGGAGTACTTCTTAAAGCGGGGTGGGCACCTCCAGGCCTCGAGGGCCAGTGTCCCTGCAGGTTTTAGATGTGTCCTTGAACCATCACAGCTGATTTAAATGGCTAAATTAGCTCCTGCAGTTCTCCAGAGGCCTGGTAACGAACTAATCATGTCATTCAGGTGTGTTGACCCAAGGTGAGATCTAAAACCTGCAGGACACCGGCCCTCGAGGCCTGGAGTCCGACACCCCTGTCTTAAAGGAACATACAACCTTTGCAGTTTCTCATTTTCCTTCCTGATCCAGTGGAACTCCAGCTCTCGTCTTTGTTTGGATTTCTATGACAGTGTCAGGGCTCTGTGTGCGGGCAGGCGGAGGTGAGGATCCAAATGCAGGACTCAGAGACTGAGTGCAACTCAAAAACCACAGCTTTATTGCTGGCAGAAAACAAAACAGAAACCTAACTGGGAAAACCCACAAACTGGACACACAGGCAAAATCTGATGGTACAACACAACACTGGCACAAAGAAACATGGGGCTTAAACACACTAAGGAGGTCATCAAGAAATTAGAGACAGCAGGGGAACACAGCCGGGAGGAATGAGACCTAACGAGACGGGGGAGCGAAGCTAGAAACACTGACATCAGACATAACCCTTCAAAATAAAACAGGAAACAATTCACAAAGACAGACTAAACATGGACTTTACACAGAGGGAACACACGGGCAGAGAAGACGAAGCACAGAACTAAACCTAAACTAAACACGAGGGCATAAGAACAAAACTTAAGAACTAAACCCTAAACCAGAATAAACTGAAACGTAGACTTATAATAATAATCAAAGCAGGATAACTAAAGAATCAGACATAAATCATAATACAGAAGAATACCAGAAACATAAGAAACTGAAAATTCTGGGTCAACATGACAGACAGAAGTCAAATTCCCTCCATTCGTCACTTATCACTGAAGCATGTTCAGTCACATGACTTAACTGGACTTTTTTCAGTCAACTGGGGTCACAATATGTTTGCCCATGAATACAATAATAATAGAATAAATTAATTTCTTCATTTCTGCATCTGTGTACTCCATGTCTCCATCTTTAAACTTTATATAACTTGAAGTCTCCTTTGCAAAACCTGAATGAGGCACTATGCTCGGATAAAGGTTTTGTTAATGATAGAGTTTGTTGTGTATATTTGACCTAGAATAAAATCTGCAATCCCTAGACAGTTTGTGAAATTTTATTAGAATCATTTATGATTTATTCATCAGAGAAATGAGGGCTGGAAGCAATCCATCTGCTGTGACTGAAGCTATAAAGACGTGCAGGAGTGCCGAGGCGCTCTGGTTGGGCGTGCAGGGTCACGCTGCAGGAGGGATTTTATTCCAGTAAAATGAAGGTTAGTTCAACTTGATGCCAAATGAGCATCCCACCTGAGTGGAAGCCACAGCGGGAATCTGGACCAGCGGCCTGATGAATCACATTTAAACTTCATTTTGGCAGCATAACACGCGCTACAGCCCACAGCTGCCTCATCCACACATCGCTGAGTGTGAGCCGACCAGTCGAGGCTCGACATGGGAATAGACGAGGAGGCAGAGGAGTCCCCGCTTCATAAACTCCCGCTGAACGTCTGTTTACTGACATCAGGACTGAGGGCAGAAAACAATACTGAGCCCCTGCTTTACTTGAGCTCGCTGCATGAAAATGGTAGCATAGAAATGTAAGTTACATAACTAAAGTCCTAAGGATGCAGAATATTCACTCTTGTACGACTTTGTTATAACCGCATGTTGGTATTTTTTTCCTTTTTCTGGAGCTTTATGCATCACTAATATCAGATGTTAACAGTTTTAATCACTGGGCACTTTTGCAGGTTATATATTTTAATTTGATCAATAACTTGAATGAATCACTGATTAAAATAACTCTAGTAATTCCATTTGAAGCAGCTGCAGCCTTGCTAACAGGATAGCGCATTTAACCACCAAGCCTGAAGCTTCCTCCACACTCTGCATCACCTGAGTCCTTGGATCCAGTTGTGATATTATTTGAGAACATCAGGATGATCTCTCCCAGATTTTCTTGTTCAAGCTAAATATGTATCTGAGAAGCAGCAAGAGCCAGTGTCCAACTCTGTGCTCCCACAGCAAGAAATCCTGCAAAACCTCCTCAATCCAAATCTGAACCCAACGCATCTAATAAAAGTGGGGATTCTGATTAAAAGGCACTAACCCTAACCTCTACTTTTACTTAGTAAAGCTGGATTTTTACTCCCCCAGGGGATGAATAGGTATATACTAAAGTATGACCACTTTTACTTGCATTGCATTGCTTCCATCACTGGGCTTGCAGTTTAGCCCCTTATAAGAAATGAATCAGTGACCCCTGTTTAATCTTATTTGGTATGCATTATTTAAACATCTGAACGTCTGTAAGCTGCTTTGCATCCCATTTAATTAGTCTCAACTTTGCTGTCACTGACCTGGGGTCTGCTCTGTAGTGGTCCCGACTGAATTAGCGTTAGAGCTCTATATGTAGAGTCTCATAGTGCAAGATGTTGAGTAATGGCAGGGTTGACTCCATCTGTCCCTAAATGAAAGTGACTTTGAGCAAGAGAACCACACCATCTATGTGAGCCTACATGAGAGGCACAGAGTGTTTTACAACCAGCTAAATAATAACAGTTGAACCATTAGGACACAAATCATAAGCTCTTTTCTCAGTTTTTAATATTATATAATGATGGAAAAAAAGGTACATTTAAAAGGAGAATAAATCATCAATAACTCCATCTAGTGATATAACAGCAAAGCACAAGTATTTAGACTTGACAGTAAAACTGTAAAGTGACCCGAGCAGACTGCGGTTTAACACAGAGCTGAAGGAAATCACTAAAGCCTCAGGAAATACTTCAGATTAATGAAAAGATACAGTTAAATTTAGAAATATGATAAAAAAGTGATAAAGTCATTCCAAAGAAAGATTGCAGGCTCCTCTCTGACAGTCCCATCGGCCGGGATGTCTCAGAGGAAATTATAAGAACCATCAAACAGGCAAAGTCAGGATTATCATAACACACCATCGTACAATAAAAACACAGTTAATACGCTAATGTGTGGCATTAGAGCTGCAATCATTAAATGATCAGTCCTCTGAGAGAAAATGAATCCACCCGCTCCGCAAACGGACATCTTCACGCCTCTCAGCAACAAGCAGACTAAACAGCTGATCAGGTTCAGAGGTGACTGGCTCATAAATTAATAGCTCAATATGGAAAATCCTGTTGTGTACATGTAGCCTCGGGGCTAGCTGAGGGGATTAGAGTCTGGGACTTACTACTGGGATGTCCTGATCATGTTTATTGACATGAGAAATGGTAGCCCTATATGGCTCTGTTCATGGTGTTAATTCTTCTAATCCCTATGGATTAATATAATAACCATACTTCTCTTTAAAAAACACTTTGCGTTCTTAAGTGATGTTAGCCATGCTGTGGCCTGTCTCTCTCTCCGGCTCCTGAATTCCAGCCCATGTCTTTATCGCTCTCTCCCTCTAAAGTTCTGATTCTCTTATTTCAATTGTAAATTTAAATTTAGGAATTTGTCCATAAAAACAGACAATGTTCTTTCATGATTCTGTCCATGGTGCTGAATATTACCGTCTGACTTTCTGACCCCATAAATGCTGATTCTGAAATGTGTATGGCAGAAACCATATGAATCATAAAGCACATTAAGCTACTGTGACTCTGTCCTTTGTCCTAAAATAAGCCTGTAATAAGCTCTGTCTGTGTCTCTGTGACCCCCCCAGTCATGGCAACGTTTTAACTATATTTAATTTAAGGCCATAAAAACAATCAGTCACACCCGCCGTGACTCTGGTGCTCATGCTGGTCCACTATTGTTCGTATGTAGTAGTTCTGTCCGTGGTGCTGAAGCCGGTATCCCCATTTTCCCTCAATGATTCTCATATTTAACGATTTTTGAGCAATGTTTGAATCAACTCAGTTGTTGGTTGTTGAGTCTGTGACTCTGTCCGCGGTGCTGATCTCCATAATCTTCCCGCCGCTGAGAATCACCGTGAACAACCTCCGCCTCGCGTCACAGTGGTAAAGATGCCCTGCGTTTTGCAGCGATATTAAAGTGCTGCAGACACAAAAAGCGCCTGTCCTCGCGTGGAAATATAAACCCTAACTTAGTGTAAGTAAGGGAGTCCCGATCACAGAAGCACATCGACACAAAGTCACAGCAGGAACGTTCGAGACAGTCTGGAGGAGCGCAAGCACTCGGGTCCAGGCGTCCACGCGTGAATCATGATATGAATGATCTGAATATGTGGGGGTCGGGCTGGTCAGACCCGGGTTCTCGGGGCTCACTCACCTATGTTGATGTTAGTTGGGAAACTTGTGCCGCTGCAGAGCCCGAGCAGCAGCGGGAGCAGTGCTGAGGGCAGCGGGCAGCTCTGCGGCCGCATGGTTCCTCCTGCAGTCCCGGAGGAGCCGCCGTAATCCCATTCACAGCTGACCGGAGAGACGCTCCGCAGCCCGCGAGCACACTCACGTCCACCGGTAGCGCTCCTCTGTGTGTGTGTGTCTCGGAGTCCTTCCCTCTTTTCTAACATCCACACTCGGAGCGCAGAGCCGTGCTGCCGCTGAGACTGTACCTCTCTCACCCCCTCCACTCTCTCACCCTCTCTCTCTTTCTGCTGCGCACATCAGTCAAGTGTAGTTACACCAAAATCAGTGCGTGACATTACTGTGAAACACATTTGGCCACACGACAAAAAGAGTTCAGCAGGTCAGATTTCTGTTAGTGAAGGATCGCCCGCTTCTCCCGCTGGTCACTGAGATTCACACATGTGCTAACTGTTTACACCTTTCACCGTCACGGGATCTGGTCAGTTTACAGACTTCAGTCTTTTCCTTCTAAACCTTCCCATCCGGTGCGAGCAGGCTTCTGAGCTGCGCGGGGAAACCCGGTTGGATTTCAAGTCCCACGCCTTAACCACTCGGCCATCACTGAGGCAGCGCCTCTAACTGTCCTCCTAAATCAGTGGTTATGGGTTCGAGACCCATCCTAGGAGTATATCAGCGTGACCGGAGCAGTGGCTGTTTGGTGGAACAAAGAAAGGCAACTGCAGCCCTGAGAACTTTTTTTTTCTTGGACTGACCTTCACAGAAAAGCCTGGTGGTGACTTAGAACCACGAAAAGTTTAGAGCAAAGAGCAAAAACCTGCAGTTCCTCGAACGTCCACTTGAGGCTCCAACAGTGGAAATAACACATTTATATCTTTCTCCAAAACCAGTTTTGGTTTTTGCTGCTAATTTAACATGGCTGCTGCTAGTTCACAACACACCCGTATGTTCTCCTAACACACCTGCTGACATTGTTCACAATCTTGCAGCCCTGCTGTTCTCTCATGTGTGTGTTTGTGTGCGTGTGTGTGAGAGAGAGTTAACCTCACTCTTCAGCCTCACACAGCTGGAAGTAATGAGCTCACCTGAGGGCTCAGCTGATGCCTGAACTCACATCAGCATTGGAGAGGAACTGAAACAGAACCGTGGACCCAACTCACCAGAAATCTTCTTCCACCACGTTCTCTAATGTCATGAACTTTTGTTCAGAGTCCAACCAGAACGACTAGTTCTGACACAAAGCTGTATTATTAGCTGTATCGTTACATGAAATCATAATTTTATCTCATCTTATCTAATGTGACCACAAACCCAAACTCAAATGGGTTTGCAGATGTCAACCTGTTGCTAAAACAGAATGCAGACAGAAGACAAACCAATATCTTCTTTCAGCCAATCAGAGCTTTGCTCAGTCCCCAGGCTTTTAGCTTCAATCACAAGAACTGGGCTTATCCTGGGGCAGAGAAGGCAAAACGAAAACATTAAAAACTGTTCCTGTTCATTGTAACAAAGCACCAGCACAGTGTACATGTATGACCATGAGAACAGAGAATATGCGTGATTACAATCCTCATAAATCACTGAGCAAAATGAATAATGATGCTACAGGAACAACAGTAAGATGGGGATATCAGTCCATTCACTGGAGCTGCTGGCCTCCAACTGCAGCCACCAGCACATCGCCTTTCACCAACATACAGAGACAAAAGAAGAAACCACAAACTCTCTGTGTCTCCTATACAGGATCATTTATTTGCTTCCCTTCAGACAGGATTTAATTGTAAATATTTTAGACCAAAGAAAAAGGAAAGTGGGAGCGGACACCTGAAAGCTGAGTTTCTCTGCAGTGACACACTGAGGGTGAGGCTGCGTGTGCGTCTCACTGAAAGCGTGGAAATGCCCGCTTTAGATGCTGATGTTTACAACATCACACACGTAGCTGCTGGACAGCAGCAGATAGAGGAGAGCTGTGGGAGCGAGGCCGCTTCACTGTCAGAAGTCGATCGTTTGTCGTGTTTCCTCTGGATCCGCCCACGCTGCCGTTGGCCTGCTTGCTGAGCACAGATAAATTAATTAGGCAGGGACTTGCATGAAAGGGGGTGGTCACGTTCCCCCCTCTCTTTGTTTTGTCTCCATAAATTGGTCGACTGAGAGTGAATAGAAGAGGATTATCAGCGTCCCCGTTACTCCACGTGTGGGCACATGTTGTAGGACGTTAACGGTGCGCCTGTTGTCCTCTGGTCCTGAGAAAGAGATTCTGATGGACTTTGAAGCTTTCGGGTGGGAAAAGTGACTTTAAATAAACCATGAAATGTTCACTAATTAATGTAACAGCAGAGTAGAAGAATCAAATCTAAAATGTTTGTGTCGTGATTGTAAAATGCGTCGATCCGATCGTTCAGACTGAAAAGTCTCAGCAGCTGTTGGATAAAACATAAAACATGTTCTGCTGGCAGAGTGAGGCACACCAGGAGCCTCTGAGGCTGATTACAGCAACTCTGCGCTCTGCACTTTAAAGCCTTCGTACACTCGAATCACTCTCAGACTGCCACCAGGTCCCAGTTTAGATACTTCTGTTAGTACACTTCCACATAGTACAGCATGTCCTTTTTACTTATTAAGCTCTTTACTGTGTTATCGGGACTGAGTGTGAAGGCCTTGTTGGATCTGCTCCGTTGTTATTTTCACAGGTTTGCTTTCTGAGGGCATCAGCGTCCTCAAGAACTCATGAGATGCAATGTGTAGCTGCATGACATCCCCGACACAACTCCGACAAAGCACCTACACGTATGAGCTTCAGTACACGTATGTAACATGCAGAAGTGTACAAAAAGGCCTCTTGGACCTGCACCCGACACCCGACAGGAAGTTTTATTTAAGTTAAAAGAGTCTTTTTTTGTTCAGTTAGATTTTGCTTTCAGTCCAGTTTCCTGTGGCCATTTTTCATTTTGAAGTCTGTGCTGTGGTTATTTTTAAGGGTTAGTACTGATGTGATGCAGCATCATAACAGTGGAAACACTTCTCAGATTGATGGCGCGACTCAAAATTTGTCTAAGAATAAAGATTCTTGTTTCTGTTTGATGGTGGTCGCCAGAGAGGAGGGAAGCTGACCTGTTAGACACACCAGAGCTGCAACGTTAGCCACCCATTAGCAGTGTGGTGGCTGTCCTGACGCATTATTACAAGGTGGCACCAACCGACAGTTCAAAGCAGTTTCATCAGTAAATGTTGTGTAATATCATTAAGATCACAGCAGTAAAAGCAGCGATTGTCATTTTTCTCTTTTTTTGCCTCCTCCTTGATTCAACTCTAATTAGCGCCATGTGTAATTAGCTGAAGCAGCACATGCAGACAGGCATCTGCTTTATCTATATGAGCTACATCAAATGGTCTAATCTGAGTCCATGCGCTGCCTGCGCGCTGACAGGAGGACGTGATTGGTTGACAGGATGTTTAGCGATAATATCTGAAGGAGATCTGGCTGTGATAGGAGTCTTTTAGCTCAGAAAAATGGAGACGTCTGTCAGACGTGACTCTTTTCCTCATTGTGCTGATTTCCAGCTGCAAACCAATTTCATTACACACTGACAACAGCTGGAGGTCAGAAGAACTGAGGCATCCTGCGGCTCTAAAGCCTGTCTGTGATCGTGGATATAAACTCAATTAAAACTGTGCTTGTTTTGTTTTTGTTCTGTTTGACTGCTTCTTTAGGCAGAGCTACTTGTGGTCAGACACATTACTGTTGGATTGTGTTACATTTATAGTCTTGAGAAAGCAACACAAAGCAAAATAAAATTATTTTAAGAAATCATGTCAATTCAGTTTTATTTATGCAGCGTCAGTCATCTCAAGGTAATTTATATTGCAAAGTAAAGCAACAGTCAAACAGTCCCAGATGAGCAGCACTTCCTTTGAACAGGAAGAGATCTCTGCAGAACTAAGATGTCCTGACTGATTGGAGGTTGAGGGGAAGGACAAAACAGCTTTGTCTTCTAACATAAATCACCTTCTTTAAAGTCACCCTACAAAACTCTCATCAGTGTTTTAAACCTGCATTCTTTTTGATGGTCAGCAGGGGGCGACTCCTCTGGGTGCACAACGACTTCCAGTTGTAGACAGATATTTAAAACTAAGCGCTGAAAGTGTGTTTTTATAGAAGTCTGTAAGATAACAGCCCACGGCTCCTTTGTTGAGTAAACTGAGGTTATTGTTAGTGTCCAGGAGGACGATAAAGCAGGGAATGTTTGTTCCTCTGTTTCAGGGTCAAAACCACCCTCTGCTCACCGTGTCTGAGACTCAGCTTAAAACTTAACAAGAGGATTAACCAATATACAATGCCATGGTGGCACCATCAATATCATATATATCACTTTTTATTCACCCCAAAGCAATTAGACAATCCCAGACGAGCAGCACTTGGCAAAAGTGGGGAGACAGAACTCTCTTTTAACAGGAAGAGACTTCCAGCAGAACCAAGGACGCACTGAGTAGGACAGTGGCTCCCAAACGTTTTTTGTTAGGCCCCCCTTTGTTTTACAAGAAAACTCTTTGTGTGATTATTTAACGTGTACCGTAGTTTTCGGGTCATAAACCGCTACTTTTTTCCCACACTGTGAACACTGCGGCTTATACTGACGTGCGGCTAAAGCCTTTTTTTTTCATGCGGCCAAAAACATTTTGCCTGGTAACAGTAGACCAATAAAATTGATAAGTAGTTGTTTGTTGTTTGTAAAAAAAAAACATAAGCAACGTAATTTGTGTGTTACTGATACGTACGTGTACTTACAGGTAGCCGTGTTACAGGCGCTGTTTGAGGAAAAAGAGCATTTGCAGTATGTATTTTTGTATGTTACCATGTTTATGTTACCTTACGGATTAAATTAAACGTTAAAAATCCTCACGTGTAATATTTCTGTGTAAATATCTCATATTACGAGCGAAACGCATACGGCTTAAAATCCGGTGCGGCCTGTACAAGTACAAGATGATTTTCTTTCTAAAATTAGAGCATGCAGCTTTTAATCAGGTGCGCTCTGTAGTCCGGGAATTACGGTAGTTGTTTTTTTCCTGTGTAATAATATTCAACATTGCATCAATACATTTCTCAAAAAATGTCTCTCTGTGCAAAATGGGTTCAAAAACATAAACAGCTGTGGGATCCTGTTTGTCCGTGATTTGAACCGGGGAAAGAAATCGTGGCAGGATCAGCCTGATGTTATTTGTATCCTGCTGTAACTTTACT